AGGGTTGGCCGGGCGCAGTGGCTCATGCCTGTAATCCCAGCACTTTGGGAGGCCGAGACGGGCGGATCACGAGGTCAGGAGATCGAGACTATCCTGGACAACACGGTGAAACTCCATCTCTACTAAAACTACAAAAAATTAGCCAGGCATGGTGGCGGGCGCCTGTAGTCCCAGTTAGTCGGGAGGCTGAGGTAGGAGAATGGCGTGAACCTGGGAGGCGGAGCTTGCAGTGAGCCGAGACTGTGCCACTGCACTTCAGCCTGGGCAACAGGGCGAGACTCCGTCTCAAAAAAAAAAGAGAGACAGGGTCTCACTCTGTCCCTGCTACTAGAGTACAGTGGTACCACTGTAGCCCACTGTAACCTTGACCTAATGGGCTCAAGTGTTCCTCCCACCTCAGCCTCCCTGAGTAGCTGGGACTAGTAAGCGTGGCCACCATGCCTGGCTAATTTTTTTTTTTTTTGTAGAGATGGGTTTGTGCTCTGTTGCCCCGCCTGCTTTCACTTTCTCTTCAGCTCCTCCCTCACCACCTGCTGGCTTCCCCAGTCCCATTCCGCCTGTTGCATCCCACAGACCCACTCCCACGCCCATGACCGTGACTTGAAGCCATGCCAGGTGACCAAGATGCCCCATCCTGAGTTATCCTCTGACTGACTTGAATCTTCTTCTGTGGCTCCTCCTCTTTCTCTGTCCCTCAGGTGGGCATCAACTACCAGCCCCCGACTGTGGTGCCCGGGGGAGACCTGGCCAAGGTGCAGCGGGCCGTCTGCATGCTCAGCAACACCACAGCCATTGCGGAGGCCTGGGCCCGCCTCGACCACAAGTTTGACCTCATGTACGCCAAGCGGGCCTTTGTGCATTGGTATGTCGGAGAGGGAATGGAAGAAGGAGAATTTTCTGAGGCCAGGGAAGACTTAGCTGCCCTGGAGAAGGATTATGAAGAAGTGGGGACTGATTCGTTTGAAGAAGAAAATGAAGGGGAGGAATTTTAAATATACACCTTTCCCTTGGCTGTGTCTCTTTATTTATGCTGCTCCTCTCAAAGCACATGTTCAAGAGTAACAGAACACTGTCCCCACCCCAGCCTGATTCCTGCCTTACCCAGGAGGAGGGTGCCCGGCCCCAGTACCCAGGGTGGCACGACTGGACCATAAGTGGACACTGAACTCCATCAGGCTCTCCCTGGGTAGGAGCAGCTTTGTGTCACCAAAGAAAGTGAGGGCCACTCTCCCCGGGGGTGGGGCTGCAGCCCAGTTTCACATGCGAGGAGGCCTAATCAGGAGTTTCAATTCCAGATGGTGCTGGGTCCAGCCCTAAAACATGGCCTACTGGCTGGGGAGTGGGAACACTCAGAGAAAGGGGAGATCTGGGCCTGGGAAGATTCTGGGGCGGGGGTGAGCGGAAGTTCACATGAGTGGGTCTATAGCCCGCTCCGGGCATCGTCTAGACTTAGCATACATTCACTCCCCCATCACATATTCCAGTACACACCCTGTCCTAGGCAGTAAGAGCTGGAGAGTTGGTGATAAGCGAGACACACATTTCCTGCCCTCACACGTCAGTAAGTGAATGAGATCATGTCAGCTGGTGTCAACTGACAGAAAGTAAAAAGCAGTGGTGAGAGAGTGGGCGTGCTCCTGTGGACTGCGTGGTCAGAGACAGCCTCATGGAGGCCTGGGCCACGTGAGAGGATGCTGGGTGCAGGGAGAAGCAAGTGCAAAAACAGACTGGGAACAAGCTTGGAGCATCTGCAGAGCCGAAGGAGATTGTTCCCTGGAGGATGGTGAGAGGGGAAGAGTGAGGGAGACAAGACTCAGGAGCCAGGCAGGGCTAGAGTGCATCCAGCACTATAGGCCATGGACAGGAGTTTAGAATTTTTTCTAAGTGAAACAGAGGCATTTGGAAGGTTTCAAGCAGGATATCTATACCTTATTTCTATATTCATACTGACCTTATCTCCACTCTTCCCAGTCTCAAAATGGATATTCTGCTCATTGTGTAGATGAACAGACTGGGATGTTTTAGGTGTTGGAGACAGTAGGAGGTACAGCTCAGATGCAGGGCCTGCCTTTCCTCCTGTCCACCCTACACTATGCCATTATCTTTTTTTTTTTTTTTTTTTTTTTTTTAGATGGAGTCTCGCTCTGTCACCCAGGCTAGAATGCAGTGGCGCAGTCTCGGCTGTCTGCAAGCTCCGCCTCCTGGGTTCACACCACTCTCCTGCCTCGGCCTCCTGAGTAGCTGGAACTACAGGCGCCCGCCACCACACCCGGCTAATTTTTGTATTTTTAGTAGAGGCGGGGTTTCACCATGTTGGCCAGGATGGTCTGGATCTCCTGACCTCGTCATCGGCCTGCCTCAGCCTCCCAAAGTGCTGGGATTACAGGCGTGAGCCACCGCGCCCGGCCTACCCTACACCATTTCTAACCCTGTGTGTTCGTGCCAGGTTCCAGCTGCTGCCTGATAAAATGCTGGATGGAGAGAGGCACAGTCTGTATCATTTGCAAAGGAGGGGGTGGCTACCTGCTCCTCTTCCTCAAGTGGGCAGCTCTGGCGGAATTTAAGGAGTAACCAAAAGGCTATGAACCAGCTAGGAAGATACCCAGGGCTGGGCCCATGGTAGGTCCCTGGGCATTAAATGCACACGTCTTTACATGTGGACGTTTCTGTCCTGCATTCCTTGGAAGCTCTAAGAGAAACAGAGTAAAATGTCCCAAGGAAAGGAAGATTAGACACGAGGTGATGCCAGTCACTTCTAGAGGCCCAGATCTGTCGTCCACTGTGACCGCTCTTGCCAGAGGTCATGCCTGCACCAGGTTCCATGGGAATTGGGCTGGACACACTTAGCCGTGGTAGAGAATCAGGGTCAGGAGCTGTCAGTCCTCCTTTAGGAGGATGCATCCTTCTCTCTTGATAAAGATGAGACCAACTCAGATAAGCTTGAAAGGACTTCCTGCGTATGTGAGTATACCCTGTTATGGGGAGTATAACACACCTGCTAGGCAGGGCTTAGGGCGGGGACAAAGCGTGTGTGATACGTTCCTCTCCTGTAGATTAATACAAATTAGGTTAAAATAAACATGATGGCAAAGTCCCAAAAGTGCTAAGAGGCATGAATACAGGGAGATGGGTCAGCAGGGAAGTTTGGGATGATACACAAGGGCCTTGGATGTATCCCTGCTCCTCCCGGCTGCTTCTCCTCTCCCATTTCTCCTCCTTTGCTTGAGTCCTTGTCTAACCATGGGGACTGCCAGAACCGTCAGCTTCAATGGTCCTGCTCATGAAGCAGGAGACTGAGTTTTAGAACTGGGGACAAGGGATCCTAGAAAGAGGGTGAGAAGGAAAGCGGGTGGCTCTCTACGATTCCCCAAGATGGGTAGCTTTGTAAGTTCTTCCCCAGCGTGGGACTGCCTAGAGACTTAAAACTGTAAAGCAAATTTGGTGAACACTAGGGAAAGGATGGGCATCAGAAAAAGAGAACTGCACAATGGCCTTTGACAGGGAGCTTGGTTCGTCCACTGGGCTGAACAACTAGATAACCCCGTCCTGGAATCCCAATGCAGCTCTCTTGGGAAGCCCTAAGTCATATTTACTTATCATGAAAAATTAATTTCATTGTTAAATATTTTACCCCAGGCACAGAAGAATCCATAGTTAACATAATGTCTAGTGAGTCCTCTTTCACCCTCCACCCTGATTTCTCAAATGCATTTCTTGGCTCGCTCTCATTTGAGAGCGTGGGTATCCACATGCACCCCCTGCTCTAGTCCCAGATTCTCAGCAAGAGCAACACACCTCCAGTCTTCTGACAGAAATCAGCTTGGGTTCCAGAAATGAAGCTACTGAGGAAGAAGACAGTATGTTTATTTTCTGTAAACTTGCAGACTCTATCAACAATTTGATCTGGCTCCATTACTCTGAGTTTTTAAGGATCACTGGGCCTGGGCTGGGCGCGGTGGCTCACTCCTGTAATCCCAGCACTTTGGGAGGCCAAGGCCAATGGATTCCTTTAGCTCAGGAGTTTGAGATCAGCCTGGGCAACAAGGTGAAACCTTGTCTCTATTTAAAAAAAAATAAAAATAAATTAAAAAAGCAGACCCCAGTGGCACTGCCTTTTCTATTAAATGCAAATATGCTAAAGGGATAGAAAACTTCCCTTTGTGTGAGTCCAAACTATCCACAGTGTTTTTTATTTTTTATTTTATTTTTTGAGATGGAGTCTTGTTCTGTCACCCAGGCTGGAGTGCAGTGGTGTGATCTCAGCTCACTGCAACCTCTGCCTCCCAGGTTCAAGTGAGTCTCCTGCCTCAGCCTCCCAAGTAGCTGGGATTACAGGCGCGCACCACCACAACTGGCTAATTTTTGTATTTTTCATAGAGACGGGGTTTCACCATGTTGGTCAGGCTGGTCTCAAACCTGGCCAGACTTCAGGTGATCTGCCCACCTTGGCCTCCCAAAGAGCTGGGATTACAGGAGTGAGCCACTGTGCCCGGCCCACAATTTTTTTAAAGTACCATAATTAACTTTTCAAAAGATTTCGTGGCAAATTTATGTTGGCCCCTTTAGGGATGAGTGAGAGGGTGAGTGGGACAAAAGGAGAGGATACTGAGACTGAGAGAAATTAAATGTCATAGAGTGTAGGGCAGCCTTCTTCCCTCATGCATTGGAATCCTTAAGAGTACAGGTGAGTCCTCACATAGCCATTCTTTTTTCATGAATATGCAGTATGGAACCCCTCATGGGAACTTCTATACACTGCATTTGGACCTTAGAAACTAAAGCCTCCAGTGTGAGGCTGCTTGTTAAGCTCATGGTCAGTGAGACAGAACACGGTGTTACCGAGCACGCTCCATGGTCTTGCAGTGGGGGGAAATAAAAACACAGAAAATGATTTTCCTTATAAATTACAACACAAAAATCACTGGTAAAATGTTGATAAACAGAATCCATACCATACTGAAAAGATATAGCACAAGCCTGGGCGACGTAATGAGATCCTGTCTCTAAAAACACCAAAACCAAACAACTTAGCTGGGCGTGGTGGCACACACCTGTGGTCCCAGCTACTTGGGAAGCTGAGGCAGGTGGATTGCTTGAGCCCAGGAGTTTGAGGCCAGGCAGGGCAACATAGTGAGACCACATCTGAAAGAAAAAAATCTACGGCACAACTAAGAAGGATTTATTCTAGGAATTCAACCATGGTTCAGTATTAGAAACTTCATCTGTTTCTCCAGATGTCTTAGCAGCTTGGAGAGACACTAGAGATACTGACTAAGGTCAAGAATAAGGCGAGGATTAAGGATGCATAGTATTGCTACTACTGTTTCAATTGCACTGGAAATATAAGCTAATGCAATTAGGAAAGGAAAAATAACTAAAAGAATAATTAGAAATGAAGATGAAAAACTATCTCTATATGTAGATGATATGATGGAACATGGAAAATCCTGCAGAATTAATGGTAAGACTAATTTAAACAAAATGGAGCCTTCAGGCCGGGCGTGGTGGTTCACGCCTGTAATCCCAGCACTTTCGGAGGCTGAGGCAGGCAGATCACTTGAGGTCAGCAGTTTGACACCAGTCTGGCCAATATGGTGAAACCCCATCTCTATCAAAAAGATAAAAAATCAGCTGGGTGTGGTGGCACGCACCTGTAATCCCACGTACTCGGGCGGCTGAGGCAGGAGAATCATTTGAACCCCGGAGGCAGAGGTTGCAGTGAGCTGAGATCACGCCACTGCACTCCAGCCTGGGCGACAGAGCAAGACTCTGTTAAAAAAAAAAAAAAAAAAGTAGCCTTCATCTTATAAACATACAAGCAGTCAGGATAGAATACAGTGGAAGAGAAAAAGAAAAAACCTCTATTAACAATAGCAATGAAGTAGTTAGGTACTTAGCAATAACAATCTAGGACATGTTAGAAGCCTTTATGAGAAAAATTTTAAACTCAAAGACACAAAAGTAGATGAGCAAATTTAATGACATTTCTTATATCGCTCAACAAAATAAAC